CTGCCCTCTGGAGGGGGAGCCCTGGGGCCCCGTCTTACAAGAGGCGAAGTCACTTCCTGAGTCATACAGCTGATGAGCTGGGATTCACACCCAAATCCCCCCGATTCCTGAGCTCCTCGTCACTACACCAGTTTTCTTTTTTTAACCCTCACCTGAGGGTATTTTTTCCATTGATTTCTAGAGAGAGTGGGAGGGAGGGAGGAAGAGAGAGAGAGAGAGAAACATCGATGGGTTGCCTCCCGCGTGCACCCCTACCAGTGCTGGGAACTGCAGCTGAGGTCCTTGCCCTTGACAGGAATCGAATCCTAGGGCCGACTCGCTAACCACTGAGAAACCCGGCCAGAGCTACACCATTTTCCTTCTTCTTCTTCTTTTATCCAGAATGAAGGGAAGTATGTTGCCAAGGGACTGATTTATTATTTTAGAGCTAATTTCACAGAAGTAAACATTTCAAAGCTTCCTTTTTTTAAAAAAATATAACAACTCTACTTTCCATATATGTCGGGTACGCTGAACTATTTGCTTGTGTCTATATAAACATATCTCATCCGTGTTGGCGGCTATGAAGGAGTGGAATGTATTCCTGAAATCTCTTAAAGAAGTTTCCTTGAGTGTTATTTATTTATTTATTTGGCAAGGGACTAGAGCACCCCCTACTGGCCGGCTCATAGGAAATACAGCCTTTACTTGGGCGAAAATGTATTGGTAGCATTTGAAGATAATATCAGACGAATGTTTAGAAGAAATTTGGAAAAAACTGTTTTGTAATCATCCATATATTAAATTAATGCATCTATAGAACACCTAAAACTTCTAATGCTTATAAGTTCTAGAAACGAGATAGAACTAGAAATAGAATAACCACCAAGAATAGCAAATGCCCATTAAAGGGAACATAAGGTAAATGAAAAGTGGCTGGATTAAAAATAACTATACAAGCAACATCTCTAAAACCCAAACTAAGAAAAGGTAGCTTTAAAAAGTAGTTAAGCCAACACTGAAAACCACAGGCTGATCAATTAAAACCAGCCGGCTCGATCATCTCACAAGCTGAGTAGACTAGGGAGGGGGCACAGTATGCCTAGTTACATAGGGGAAATGGAAATTGTAAAGAGATCTTTTTCTGTGCCACTTTTCCAAGGGCTGCTAACGCCGGAAGCATACCTTGTGGATGAACCTCAGCTCTTACCCGCATGTATGTCTTAAAGCAACCCACCCAGCTTCGTGGCTACATAATCCATATACCTGTGCCCAGATGTTTCCAAAACATACAATAACACACTAAACAAGCCGCCCTGTAAGAAGTGCAATTCTTCCTCCCATTGTACAGTTGTTGTTTTTTAACCGCACACTTATTTATAAATTGGGGGGGTGTTTTTTTTAAAAAAAGCACAGTTACCTTTAAACCGTGAATGGACGGTAATAATGCAAAGAGCAGCTCCATTTAGAAGATTTCTTTGTTTAAAAGGAGGAACAAAAACAGTTTAAAAGGAGGAACAAAAACACTTATAATCGAGAAACTAAAACATTTATCATTGAGAGAAATAAACACCAAAATGTGTATTCTCCTGTGGGGCTCAAAGAATATGGAGATGTGCACGGGGAGGCTGGCGGCCTGTTTCTGCCTGCGCGCGGCACCGGGAGGAGAGCGAGGCCAGCGGCCTAGCCAGGCAGCGTCCCTGGCTCCTGGGTTTCTGAGCCAGAACCCCGCCTGGTGCTCAGTCCAAGGACAGCTTCATCTTTCACAGAAAGATGGGCAAGGGCAGACTGACAATGTGGGTCAATGTGGGTAAGTCTAAGGTTTTAAATGTTATGTTTAGGGGTTTTTTTTATATTAAAAAAAACAATCAGCTAATAATACAAATTCCGTGAGAAGTGGCCTCAAAATGAAATGGACTGTGAGCGATGTAAAAGAGACATTGTCTGGCTTTCAAATGTCCTTCTGGCGGCAGGCAGTGTAAAACCAGTTCAGTGCAGTACAAAGAGAGCGTTTTCCCCTCCACCTCTACACCAGTGTTCTCATCTGCGAAGAGTCGGTGGGGATGGTCACTGGATAGATGCAACATGCGAATATTATTTCAAGTTCCTTAGCATTTTCCTTTGAAACTCTCGACATGTCAATGGCTTAGCCAAATAGCCTTAGGAGACTCTTGTATCCAAGATCTGTGGGGTGTAAGTCTCCTCGTGTAATTCACTCGCAGCTGAGAGAGCCATATTGTATGAATATAATTGCAAGCAAAATTCAGGAAGCTATTAGCTATAACTGGCTCCCCCCCCCAAAAAAAAAGTCCATTTATTTTGCAAGTTTAAAATAGAGCAGAAGGGGGAAGAAATCAGATTAATCACGTATTACTCATGTGATTTTATGGTTTTTGATACTTCACCAAAACATTAGCACATTGTACAGCTCACAGCCATATGGTGAGTGTCCCCTGGATCTTCTTTCTCTAAAGGGGTGTGTTTGCTGGTTGCTGGGGTGACTATCACGGTTTTATGAATAGGGGAATGTAAAAGCATGCCAATGAGGCAGCACGAATTACAACTGTATTGTGGCAACTTGGAAGAGCGTAGCCAGGGTTCCCTCCGGAGGAAACCGGAGCTCGAGGTCCCCATGCAGCAAAAGCTGCACCGAGCCCTCCGGTCCGTGTTGTACAGATAACAGCCTGCGGTGAGCTGTACACACGGATGCAGGCAAAGTGGGGCGGGGGCGGGGGGGATCTGCATTTTCTGTGAATCAAAAAAAGAACCTCATTTGGTCAGAAAAGCAGCGATCAGTTGTGACTGATTTCCTCCCTCTTAAAATAATACTGAACAGAACGGCCATCAGTAAGACGTTGACAAAAAGATGGAATTACCGGAGTGGTTGATAAGCAGCACAGATAGGAAAACAGCCCCAAGCTCCCGGCGGGCCAGGAGGAGGATGGAGGCCGTTGGTAAACATTCATTTATCTGGCAACTGGAAAAGGGCAAAGAGATACTTCAGATTTTTGTGTGAGCCTGGGTGTGTGTGTGTGTGTGTGTGTGTGTGTGTGTGTACGCGCGCGCTTAAAGGCTTGCATTCGAAATTAAGCCTTTGAATTAAATTTTAAAGAATGTAAGTAAATAATAGGGGAGAAAAGGCAAATCCTTTCATGGAGCGCAGGGTTAATAGTTAACCTGATAATGAGGTCGGGATCGCTCTTCCCTGGGGCAGCCCATCCCAATCAGGCCCTGAAGACAGGACCACCGGGCACCGGGCACGGGCACGGGGCGTTATTGCGGAGATGCAGGCCCGGCCCAGGGAGACCCGCGAGGTCAGCGGGAGGTCTCCGGCCTCCGCTCAGTGGAGTCCCGCTCCGGGGATTTGTTCTCGTTACAGCTGGAGGGTTTCTGTCTTGTTTGCTTTTTTTCTCACTTTAGTGACTCGTGGTTTGTTATCATTTGTATTATTTATTTTACGGTTAAACTATAAGCCTCGGTTGCATCACCGGCGCCCGGGGAGAGGCTGGCTGGTGCTGCATCCTCGGGCATCAGTGGCTGCGGCCGGGCCGAGGGCGGGAGGCCAGCGGGGGTCTAAGGAGACTCGGGCCAGGGGGCCTCAGGGCTCGTGGGTGGCCCCGCCGGGTCCACTGCACCCGCTGACTTTCAAACCCGCGGTCGGAAGGGAGGGAGGCGGCTGGCACTCTCCCTGGATCCCCCACGAGAGGCGCCCGCAGTGCGGCCCCGGCGCCCTGCCCGGCCCCCCGCTGCCCCCCCCACCGCTGTCCCCCCCGCCGCCCCTCGCTCTCCCACCCTGTGGGTCCTTGTCCCAGGGGACCCCGCTGCCGCCCCCCCCACCGTGCACTGTCCACCTGCCCCCACTTGTCCATGGCCCCCCACACTGGCCCCCGCCGCCCCTCCCACGCTGCGGCCGCGGCACCGGGGTGAGCGTGGTGGCAGCCCACGGACCCGGGAAAACACGCAAAAGCCGCCCCCGCGGCAGGAAAAGACGGGAAAGTCCGCGGGAGGCGCGGCGCCCCCTTGCGGGAGGCGGGGACGGGCCGCCCGCGTCCCCAGGGCGCCCCCCTCGGTGTCCCCGGAAGACCGGGGCGGCGTCCCCGCAGGCCCCGCGACGCGGCGGACCCCACGCGAGCGCCTCCGCC